ACAGAAAAAAAATGAGAGCTACATTTTAAAGTACTAACGGTCACATCTTGTCACGTCATGGATTTAACAGTCTTTGTTTAGAAAAACAAGCCTTTGATTTTATTTTATTCTACTGAGCAATGTTTTTGTGAATGAGAAAATAATCCTCAATCATAATGTACATAATGTATTAGTGTGGAGCACTTAAGGAAAATCAGTACGGTATCTTTAAACAGAGATGTTCTTTTTGGGGATGATCCTTCAGTAAATGGACTTCATCGTGTCAATACTTAAACTTCCTGACAGAAAAGGTTCAGAAGTGAAGAAATAATTATGGAAAATGCCACAGGAGTTGCCCATTATATATTTGTATTTATTATACTTTAAAAAAAATTATGAGAGAGACATCAAAGCATTCACACTGACCAAAAGAGCTAGTCTCTTGTTCTCCTGTAAAATTGACTTAATCTCCCCCCATCATAACCAATTCTGATAATTTCATCTGCTTTTGTAGATTATTTCAGGATTATTCCGTTGTGACTCTGGAGACAAACATTCATATAACAATATGAGAGTGTAGGCTATACTAGTTGTTGTGGTATTTACACATATAGAAACAGATAAGAAATAACCCAGCCAAGCAGAGATTTATAGATTAAAACACAACAAAAAACAACTGACTGGAAGGTCTCCAGATATATGAGATGACCACTTAGCAGTATCATGTACACGGTTTCTATAGCCAGTAATAAAACTTAAAGTACAATGTTATTAACAGGATTTTTCTTAACCCACTCATTGAGACACAAAACGCATGCGTGCATGTGTGTGACAGTTTGGTGGAAGCTGATGTACTGAAGCATTTGATGTCAACTGTTTGTGGCAGCTTGTCCAGGAAATGCTGTTTTATAAGGCGAGTTCAGATTCACTTGATTGGAGTTGTTGTAAATGAGAACATTGGGGTTTTTTTTTTTCCTCAAGAACAATCTAATACATTGTTTATGGGATTTTTTTTTTTTCTTTTTTCGTCTTCCTAGAAGGATACTCCCAGTCCTCCACTTCCAATGAACTCCACATTTAAAGATATAAAAGCTATTCATAGGGTGTGACAAAAGCTGATGAGCCGAGGCCAGTGAAAAAGTATATTGTGCAAGTTGACAGCCCAGCTTCTGACCCATTAGAGCTGATGTCATGTTTTTATCAGTCACAGAAATGATGTGAAGAAGTGAAATATTTGAAGAGAACTGTCACTAACAATAGTTGTTGTTTTTTTTTTGTTTGTTTTTGAGTCATCACATTAAAGAAAGCCAATTCTCCCCACACAAAATAACACTGTACACCTTAAATGAATGCTTAACTATTACAACTGACATTGTGTCATTTCCTATCTTTTCAGGAAGTGGTGACCCTGCCTAACTGACACCCTGCTTTCCCTGCCGTCCCCCCATCTCTGCCCCCCAGCCCCGTGTCCTGATTGGATCTCCGTGGTGCCGGCGGTGGATTGGAGCACTCTGATTGGGGGCTTTGCGAGGTGGTTTTTCGGTCTGGCGCCGCCTCCCCCCGGGGCCGGCGTGCGCTCCCAGCAGCCCGTGGTGCCCTGCGCCCCCCCGTCCCCGTCACTGCACACCCGAGCCCATGCCCAGGGTACGATCAAAGGATGAGTTTTTAGCATTCACACCTGTAGTTCAGTTTCCTCTCTGTGCATCAAAGCAGACATCTCATCAAAACCACTTCCTTGTTTTTGCCCCTATTAGCCTGAGAGTTGTGAAGATGAATTCACCAGTGTAGACTGAAAAATTCACAATGAAGAAAATGTGAATCATTTAAAAATACAAAGCACAAACGTATACCGCAGTAGAAATGACTAAAACGTTTTAGCCCATTCAGACGGTTTCAGTATAAATGTGGCCCCTGATGTTCATGTAA